GCTTCAGAAACGGTCGACCTCACCATTTTTGCGGTCTGTTTTATTCTTTTGCGGCCTAGATCAGTGTTAAGTCGAAGTTACTTGGCCTAAAGATTAAAAGCAATTAAAATATTATCAGCTTAGCTTTATGTAAGGCTTTTAATCCCTTTCTCAACTTTGAATATCAAACATTCCTCCCGTATAAGTGAAGTTAGTTTCAAATATTTGTGTAGGAAATTCTGTTCTGTCAAAACTGCCGCATCAGAGTAAAGAATTTGATCATCGCACCCTTAATTATTTACAAAAATTGGCAGTGAGTGATGCGTATAAACTCGATGAAATGACCATTTTCAAGATAAGCATCAGACACAGGAAATACTTATAGTTAAGAGTTTTCTGTGCACCAGCTAGAGGTTAACGCATATCTCGAGCCACTCCCTCTTAACAAGATGCTGAAAGCTCAATTTTTTCGTTCCTCCTTTGTCCACGAATAAATTACAACCCCCTCACTTGCGTGAAAATGGGTCTCCACCATTTGTACCCCCTGTGATGTCTAAGTTGCTGGTTCGATCAAAAGTAGGGCGGGGGCAAAATGACCAAACTATATTTTCATAATTCTTTGTGCGATCGGTGGTTACATGGTTTTTGCCTATTTACTTTTAACTGTTGTTGCCGGTAACGATATCATTTTAACAATATTGTTTTAAGCACATTTTCTCTCATATTTGAGATCCGTGACCTTCACTATAACAAGTCCAACAATTACAACAAAACAAACAAACAAAATAAGAACCAAATTTATCCTCTTAAAAAAACGTGTGGGACCTCCCTGAGCCGACCGAACACTGTGATCAACAAATACTCAGAGCATGAGCTCGCGGCGCCACTGGGCCTAAGTAGATAAATCAAATTAATTCAAAATCTCTGAAGGATCCTGAGGTCATGTGAAAGAAATCGTGATGTTCGTGAAACATTCAAGGCGATTTCGTTCTCGCTTTGTAGTTGTAGGTTACAACTTGGTGGCATAATCTCGAATATTTTTAAAACATCGAGTTTGTAGCGGGTTGAACTACATAACGGTTGATCTTTAGTTTAGTAGCGGAATAGGCGAAGTCTAATGTGCAATATCAACCCATATAATTAGGTTAAATTTTCATTGAAGCTGGGCTGTTAATTAAGACGACCTGCCTCTAATTTAGCCGAGCTTACCGCCGGCGGTTTTGTTTATGGAAGGCAACAAACCGGCATAACTACCTGTGTAATAGCAAACATATAATTTGATTTTTCAATTAAGAAAGTTAGGTCGTCAATCTATTATCCACTTTACGAGACATTCATGGAGGCCTTATAAGTCTGATGTATGCATTAAAATTATTAGAAGTATTACCGGCATTTCAAGGGCCTTTCGTTCGATAGAGAACTAGATAACTGTCCACCAAACGTACAGTCATAGCCGGAATCGTGTGAAAAATATTCCCTTAGGTTAAAAAACGAATGAAATCCAAAAACTCTTCCCTTCCCCCCCCCTGACCCTGAACGCTTCCTTCTTGAACTCTCCAAGTTTATTTGCGAGCTTAGCAGAAACTTTTGAAAAAGGGGAAATTGACTTAAATTTTCCGTCTGTACGGAACATACGATGTCAAGCTGTGGCTTATTTCCCCTGCTCTAAATACCCTATTGTCCTCAGTCCGGGTCGATATTATTTTAAAAGATACTTCTGCATGTTGTGGATCAGTGATCTCCCTTGCTCAGACTAAGAGTTCTTCAAGTAATAAGAAGGCCTTGCATAAGCATTGTATCGTCAACAAAATTTTGTGACTTGGAACGATAATAATTGCTGAGGGTGTGTGAGTTAAGAATAAGATGAGCATCATTAGGTAAGAGTATCATTTATGGTATGATTTTCCAAATAACAACATTTTAACGTGGGGTGATTTCAACTTTCCTCAATTATATTAGCTGTCCAAGATTTAAAGCTTATCGGTTTTAAAGCCTTCATCACCAGCAACAGCATCGCCACGACTGTCATTAACATCATCATGATCATTAAACAAGAACAGGTTGTCTGAATGCTTCTCTTTTACTATAAATGAGTACTTCGCAAGGGAGAATATAGGTCGAGAACACGGTTTAAGCACCTTCTTGGTGAAATTTGTGAGTCCTTTTATAATGTCAGAAACAAATTGATTTCAGTTTTATTTTGAAAGTCCCCGATCCTCCGCAAAAAGAATTTTGCAATAAATTCGTGACTATCTAAAAAATTTTAAAAAATAAAAGATTTTTATCGTGCAAAACAAAGCTCTGAAGTTTATCACTTCGATCTGTGGGTCTCCACACTCGATCTGGGGCATCGAATGAGAGACACGTGCTTCTAGACATGTTTTGTAACAGAAAAAAAAAACTCGTGATCTTCTTAAAACTCGCGATTCGTTTCCTATGAACGTGACCAATCTACATCATCCCCAATCGACTTTTTTCTTTTAATCGCGGTAGTAACTCTCGGATGGAGAACATTTGACGCCTACCGCGTCAGCTTAGAAACGAGACGAAAATATCGTGAGGGACCAAAAGTTAGGATGTTTTGCACGCACACTCGTGATGCGATTAATGTCTGAATCATCACTAGTTAATGTCTAAGCCCGTCTAAAACATTATGGCCGACTTTTTAGCAACTTAAGGGAGAATTTTTTAAATAGGTTTTTTTTTTATGAGTAACTAAACAGAGTGTAAGCAGAACTTTACAGCTATTGGCAAAATGCCGCTCGCCTGTGACGGTTTCAACACTCTTGGGGAAACTTGTATGTCAGTTGCAAATACCTCTTGCAATTACATTTGAAATTAATTTAGAAACGCTCTTAAGTTCCAGCTCAGGTTGTGGCTTAAAGAAAGATGCTTTCGTTCTTTCACAAACGTGGGAGTAGCAAAACAAGAAAAAATATTTATTCTCTCTTGTCTGTTCAAATACAATACGACCTCGTCATTTCTGATCAGACTACCATGCAGAAACATTTCGTAGTTGAGCCTATTAAATAGAAGAGCCGATCAACTGGACCTTTGTAACTCTGTAATAGAACATTGGACCTAAAAATCTCAAGTTTCGGCTGAGAGAATCACGGTTGTTTTTCTCTAAGAATGATGACAAGAAAAATAAGGGTTTTTATGTTTTTTTGCTGTTCGGCGTTGGAGTTGACGCAAGCCGGTTAGGCATAAACTCATTGTTACTCTCGGAAAATGTGCTGAGTATGACGTAACATCGAAGACATCAAAGGCAAGAAATAAAAAAAAAAAACAGTCAATGGTTCTGAAATGTGCTAAATTTTGTTTGAATACAATGGCTCTACTAATAAATACCTGGTATAGATATAATTTTGTGAGGAGGTCAGACGATGGCGAGAATCATAGAGGATGCAGCTTTGCAGAGGCGTCGGCGACTGAGTTTGCAGGCTTCCAACTCTGTGGAAAAGATGCACTTTGTCTTCTTGTCTGCCGTCCTTCAAGGCCCGACGTATTATTCATGAAAGGTGCTATAATCAGGGGCGGATGACATCATACTAGACACCAAAAAAATAATTCTATTTGCAGTGTATTTCTAATTCAGATAATATGATTTCGATCTTTTCATAAATCACCTTCCTCGCCCTGGCCTGTCCACACGTCTTGTGCCAATGTACTGTTTTAGCTTTCGTCTTATGTCACAGGTTGACCTAATGACGTCTTAGCCTGATAGAATAATGAACAAGTTTATTCGTTTGCAATTGTCGACAATTCAGGGACGGATGTGCACAAACAAGATTTGCCACGATCTCCGGTTTTTTATTCTTGATACAAAACTTAGCTTGTACTCGTGTTTGTCAATTTGTTTGTTTGTTCTACAGATAAATAGTTGGGAGGTAAATAAACATATTAAGATCGCGAACAAAATCTTTGTAGCTTAGGACTTATACTTCTACCTTGTTAGCGTTATTCTGGCTCTTCAACACCGTCTTGCTTCCCCCACGTCGTATGGTAGTCTCATCTAGTTATATAATGGTTTGCAGGCGTCTTATGAGCGTTTTGCTTCCCTTACGTCATGTGGTAGTGTCATCTAGTTATATCGTGGTTTGCAGGCGTCTCAGAAGTGTTATACACTAAAACTTATGATAGTCAGGTTTACCCGATCACCATGTTTGATTTCGGTGTAAGCTTCAACGCGAAAAGGAAGAGGAAGATTAGAGAAAGGCAGGAAACTTTTTTTTCCCTCTCCAAGCCCCCTTCATACTCTCGCATTGACAACCTTGTTTTTCCCAAACCTCCCTAAGCTTCGAAAATCGAAAATTGGCAGCCACACGCTTCTTTGCTTAGAAAAAGTACGCGTTTTTTTTTTTTTTTTTTTTTTTGCCAACTAAGCCAGAACTGCATCGCACCTACAAAAAAACGAACTTTTCTATATGCGGAAAACTGGCTGCTCTTATGTGATGCTCTGCTCGATTGAATCAACAAAACAGTCTGAGTAAAAATTTCGTATCTATGTTACACAAAGAATACGTTGTCAGTGGTAACAATGTCCCTTTGTTGATGTTGATTTTGACGTCGTGTGTGGGGACAAAGCGAAATCAGGGAGTCAAGTTGTCTCAAGGCCGACGCCTAAGCCGCCAACGCTGATTGAACAAAATATTTCTTTTTTTGTATTTGCCTCAAAACGTTTGCAATCGAGTGGCTTGATGGGTTCACATAAGGTTTCCTTTTTTTAAATAACATCTTAAAGTGACGTTCACTTTTTCCACAGTGTAAGTTCACAGAGTTATCTCTCTCTCGGAAAATACAAAGTAGGTTGATTCACGACTAATGAACCTGCAAATTGATAAAAAACAAGTACAGCCAAGACCCTGCTTACCTTAATAATCGCTTGTTTACTCTTCTGGTTAGGGACGGGATCGCGAGGACAAGTTGGTGCAATCTTTGTACCTCGCACTCGCCTCGCCGGAAGTGTTGATTTTTTTCTCAATCGGCAGGGAGTCCTTTGCTAATTACCCGGTCAAATCAACAGATTTAGAACCCAAATCCGCTCATTTACGATGAAAGACACTTTGTAAATCAAAAAAAAAAAAAAAAAAACTTTACACCCGAGTTGATTTACATCTAACCCGTATGTTGTAAATAGTGAAACGGAGGCTTGGGTCTGCTTTCTATGGGAAAGCGCTTCGTACGATCAGTTCGTATGATCTATCTATCATGGATCAGTTATGAAACTAACTTTAAGATCAGAAACTCTGAGTTTTAAAGTGATTCGGTAAAACTAAAGTGTTTATCATCGTGTCCATGGTTAATTATCCAACACAGAGTCGGCGAAGAATGAACTCCAAGTACCGGAGGGGCTTGAGCTTCATGTAATTATCTCGGTGGTATGCCCGCAAAAATCCGGAAATCGTTTATGAAATTGTCATCAGAAACAAATTATCAATTGTGTTTTTTAACCAAACGCTGTAGCATTTCTAAGTGTACGAGATGGAGTGGTTGATATGCTGGTATCAAACAGCTTAGCTCGGGGGCAAATATACGCTCTGATCGAAAGCTTTTATTATATTAAGATATTCCTGAGTCACTTCTTGCACTATGGTCAGGCCCTTGCTTTTGCACAAGAGATTAGAATAGTCTTGCCCTCTCAACAGACTTCCCACTCTCTTCATTTCCATGATAAATTCAGTGCGGAGAATAGATTATCTCCTACAATCGTCTCTAGGCTATTTGTTTCCCACCTACGTGTATTAACTAAAACGCTGGGCCAGTTCACAAGTGAGCTTATCTTTAAGTGGTTTGCGCGCGGTGTCGAGAGTTCAAAAGAGGCCTGGATGCTAACCTAATCCTTTCTGACGTGAAAGAGTCCTTACTAGTTTGGACCAAACCTCTGGAATCAGGGATTCTATCAAAAGCACGTTCAAGCTGGCATGCCTGTTTTGAAATCTCATTTCTTAACATGCGGCATTTTCCCTTGGAGGCTGCCAGAATGTCAAACAGCGGAGTCAGCATTGGCGGTTCCCACGTGTAACGCGACGCAATTTCAGTATGAAGAAGTTCGGTTCTAAGCCTCTGCACTTTTAGTTGTTCACGTTTCAGATCTATCTGCAAACGATGGATTCGCTGTTCGTTAGACTCGCGGGTAAATGAAGTGAATTTCTTATCATCACTGAAGGATCGTGCAAATGTTCCTTCCGCGCCTTGATTCGTGTTGGTGTAAACTTCACGGTTAAGCACCGCTTTTGTTACGTGATCTCTTGGGTCCACTTTTTTGTATCGATCTTTCGATTGGTTCAATTTTCTTTCTAAATTATGAAATATGCTGAAAGGAACGGAACAATTTTCAGCCTCTCTGCTGATATGTTGCCTTGAACGACGCTGTCTCCTGATTTGAATAAACTTCAACTCTCGACTGTAACCCGAGTAACCTAAAAGAGCTCTCCATTGTCGCGCAAGGTAAAGAGCTTCGAAACCTTTCACGGCGAAGTCTGGCACTAACCGCAGAATGAGGTTGAAAGTTGTGTCACGGGGTTTATTTGACAGGTCCATGTTGTGGACTGCTTCTGCACTCTCCGCACTCAGTAATCTGTGATTAACAGGGCCTGGTTCAAGTAGGTAACTCCACTTCTCGAGTAATCGACCCAATGCCGCGGAGAAAGGGGCAGCTTTGTCATCACCGAAGAAAAGGTGAAGAGGTTTGTAAATCGAGAGGAAGAATTGTTCGTATAGCTGTCTGGATTCGTGACAAGCTTGAAGGAATCTGATCAGCATATCTGTTGGTTTTTCTATTTTTGTTATTGTCTCCTTTTTCCCAGGGAGATTTTGTTCCCAGTGGATAAGATCTTCGATCTACAGGTAAAAGAATAGAGAATCCGTTTGTACCACGCTTATTGTGAAATGTAGTACGATAAAGAAATAAGTAAAAGGAAATGAGCGTGTTTCGAATAAATACTTGAGCCATTCTGGATGATTCGATCCCCTGCAAGTTTCAAATATTAGCAAATTAATAATAATAATAATAATAATAATAATATTAATATTAATATTAATATTTTAAAATATTAGTCTAATGCTTTGCCAACCGTCAAGTCTTACACTGGCTTCAAATGTGACAAGCATCTACCCAATCAAAGTTGTTTACCTGTTTTGCGGAAACGAGTTGCGTTACAGAAATTTCACGCAATCTCTGACGTCTCCATGATCTCCAGAGAGAAGTGATTTGTTTTAATCTGCGGTAAAGATCCTCCAAAAAATGATCTTTATCAGCTAAAAATAATTCCAGCTCCTCTTCAAAACGGAGTAGTTCTCTATCTAATTTCGCCTCCTGGGCTGCCTGTGACACTTCCTTCCGATCTTCTAACTAAACAATGATGAAGAACATTTGAAAAAAGTCATAACATAATTTTAAATGGATGTAAACAGCTACAACCTTTGTGCATAGATCTGTTCACAAGAAATACGCTATGATACCCAAAATAATCTTGGGCAGGTTCGGAAGTACACCATCTGAGAACTAGGTAAGACGTGTATGTCGAAGTCGGAGTGTGAGAGGAAGGTCTTTTAACCCGAAAGTCACTGGAACTACACAAAAACACCCTGTTTTTTGATGATTATAATGATGAATTCACATAGTGCATTCTTCATATGAATAGGCTCAAATGCGCTTTGCGGGGCACTTAGGCCGAAAGGCGGTGAGCAGTTTACAATTTTTGAAGGAGAATTTCGCAGGTGCCTCCAGTTTAGGAATTTTTAATATCCATATAGTATGTATCCTAATTCGTCCATTGTCACATTTTCCCTACCATTGCACGCGCCCTATATTCTTCAAATTCGTGACAATTTGCAAACACTTCAGGTGTTGTAAAACGTTACTCATTTATCAATAATAGCTGTTATATATTAACAGTTCTTTACAAACGCGTCATTATAAAAAATTACTGCCAAATGCGCTCGTTTAGTTCGTTCAAAAAACGACATTCCAAACAATTAACGGTTAACTGTCAAATGACCTAAAATTTAACTGTCAACCTCGAACAACCTCGTCACAGGGACCTGTGCTATTCGTTCCCTAGAGAGGGGACGAGTAGGAGAGGTCCCTGGGAACGAGGTTGTACCGTTGAAGGAACTGACTGGGGACGAGCTGACCAGAAACCGAGGACAGGGGGTAGGGGGAAGGAGGTACAGTTTGAGCGAGGTACGGGTAACAGGTAATGGGGAATCACGCTCTCAATTTTTTCGGATTTAAGCTCGTAATCAGGCTGAATTACTCGAAGCTAAGGGTGTCTTGATTAAGTCATTCTCAGGTTTGCAGCTTCAAATCGCTTTAATTTTAAACTTTGATTCCAAAAGAGTTGATTATGACAGTGGTAGAAAAATAATCGTGCTTAACCTTGCGCCTCGAGCCACTCAGTCGAAAGAAATTAAGTAAAAAAAAAATTGATAAATGGTCGTAGAACTCGATTGCGCGAAGTTGTTTATTGCGTAACTGGCGTTAGGTTGGGAGAAATACTCCAGCATTTTCATTAGAATAAGTAAATTAACCCTAAATCACAAACATATTTTACTGACGCAGTTCAAAGATAAAAAGATACTACACGCGTCCTAAGTGGGATAAGCCTATCGTACACTTGTACACCTGCAAGGAAGGGAAAGTTCTAATTACTTGTTTCAAAAAACTCGAATACCACACTTTTTGTATCATTTTATCAGCGTAATAATCCTATTGGAATGCTGTGGAAAAACTTACAAATATGACTTTTGTTGGTCTATCGACATCTCTCTTTAAAAAAAAAAATGCCGTTCGGCCGATTGAAAGTATTCACGCAGCGAGAGTTCGATCAAACGAAAAGGATTTTCTTTCAATTGTAAACGAGAAACAATCGATACCCCTCTCTTTTCATTCCTCACAATTCTTGATTTTGTTATCCGAAATGTGAGAAGAATATCAGAACGATTTCCTCGACAGTTGATTGCGAAAGTTTGCTCCAAGCAACATCCGTGAAAGTGGAACGGCTTCGTGTGACATGACAGTCTTTTGATTGTCTTAAAAGTTTTAACGATGAGGAAAGGCTCAAAACGTCTTCCAATTAATTTTAAACTGAATACTTACCGTTGTTCCCGATTTATCCAGCAAAAACATTACGTCCGAGCACTGCAGCTAAATGCGCTCTATTTTCACTACGAAAGTTTCTTCTAATTATTTCTCAGAGCGTACTGTGGTTTAGTGATCGTATCAACAAGGTACACAAGCTTTTATTTTAAATCTTTACGATAGAGATCTCTGATAAATATTTTGCTAGCTACCGACCATCCGTTTCTAAGGAACATCCTCACATTGGCGATAATTTGCGGTTTTTCAGAGATCACCTTTTATCAATTACATTTTGTTTGAGCTAAACACCTGCTGAGCTGAAATTCTTAAAAGCTTTGTTGGCAGCGCTAATGAAATTTCACGCTGAGATAAACTGCAAATGTTTTTCTAATTGGCGAGACGTAGATATGAAAAGCCAAGCGGACAGTTTTTTTATATAAACCTACCCTCCGCTGCGAATTATTAGTTTTAAAAGTGCCGTGGATTATCATCAAAGCTATCACGAATCGTTGATTTAAAGCAAAAAAAGCACCTTCTATTTTAATATTTATTTTTTTGAGCGCTGGGTAGAAGTACTTTCTAGAGCAAGAACGTTTAAAGTAATAAGGTACCTCAAAAGACGTTTCTTGCCAACGTTTTCTTGCTGCCTTCCTTCCCTGAAACAACTATAGCATTGCGTGCCAATGTGCGGTGGCGACTTAAGTGTAATATCCAACTAAAAGCGGTCAAAATTGAGCTGAAAGGTATCGTATAAGATAAGCAAGTTTGTGTACATAGAAGAGCAGATAACAAGGGTATTTCTGTTTCTTCTAAAACGTGAAATAAGGGGTTTCATATTTAGTAATAATTGAGACGTATGTAACTTGATATCCAACGGATTTGTCATTCTCGACGTTTGCATTTTCATCGTCGATTTAAAAACGTCAATGATCAAAGAGTACCACAGATAATTGTGAAACCAATTTAAAATTATTGAAATACGCATTTCTCTAAAAAGAAATATATTCTTAATCTGACTTTTTATAGCAGCATATAGCTATAAACACCGTTCAAAAATAGTCGTAGCTTAGACCAATTCAAACTTAATCGAGTTTTCTATAAATTAAAAAAAAAATTAAATTTCATAATTCTGTACATACATATAAAATACCCAATTCATTTGAGCAAACAAAGTACTCTATTCGTTTCTATTCTCACGACAACCCTCAGAGTCCATATTCTCCTTACTATTCTCTATAGATTTCATTTGGTATTAGATAGATAGATAGATAGATAGATAGATAGATAGATAGATAGATAGATAGATAGATACTTTATTATAAACACCTTGCAGCCATAGGCTGAATTACGGAAAATGTAATTATTATTTACTAATAAGGAGAATTCGTTTAACAATCAAAGCTTTTTAGTTCTTATGATCTTAATGAGTCATTTTGCAGTATTGCTGTATGCAAACTGGGAGAAAAAGCAGTATTTCTATTCAAGCTTTCGGCCAGTATGATTCCAAGGTTTCTTGGTAAAACAGAAGTTGACCAACCAAAGCTTCTGAACTGCGAGGTGAAACTGCAGGTTCAAATTCCCTTCTCCTCCTTGAAATTCTCTTCAGTGAACCTTTTTTCCCTGAGGTGTTTCCATCCTAGACACGCGGCGCTTCTTGTCTTAAAACGGAATCGTTCCCAGGCTCCCGACTATTTCCCGTTGTGTTTCCAGTAAAGCTTGTTCCTCAACGTAGTCAAGATCAACCGGGGTTACAGTTTGCTTGCTGACCTCGGCTGCTATTGAAGTGAAAATGACAATGAAAATAATAATCACCATGATGTTGATCACCACCATAAACTAATAACAAGAGAAAGAACATCGGCGAGACACAAGGTTGCGTCTCATTTGCATGCCACTTTTTTGTGCTCAACACAACTTTTAACGTTATCTGTAATCTAATGGACAAACGCACAGCACACAGTGTGGACGAGCAGTTCAAACAATAATTCATTGAAAATTGGGGTCTTCATGTCCCTAAAACACGTTTTACGAAATTTCATACATCAACGCTTGGAAAAGATTGGAAATACTGTCGTTCCAACCGCTGCGTGTCACTGTAACATGTTCCTTAAAATCTTGAGTACCTTAGTCTTACCATTATATCTCAGAGTTTTCATTAGATTTGTTAAAGGTAGGAAACTGTCTGAATCGGCATCTGGAGGTGGTTCTGAAACGTTAATAATCTAAGTTACTTCAACTGACTGATTTGAGAGCACTTCAGAGTTGCGAGAGTACAACCAAGCTAAAACCAAAAGGCTTTCAAAAAGGAGTCTCAGTGTGGAGACTACTAATGAGGTCCCCATATTCTGAGTGAATGTATTGCCTAAACGGCTTAAGGCAGGAAACGAAAGTTTTCGATTAACTCTTGGTCTACAACCAACAGTAATTGAAACGGCCAAAGGTGAAACAGTGAACAATCAGACAGACTCAGTCTCCAGCGCAGTAAAACGAGTGCGTGTCAACTACACACGTCACAACCGGTTTGAGTAACTCAGCAGTCAATGGCTACAAATTAAAAGCAACTTCAGGCAGAAAAATTCTTACAATCAATCGAGAATGATAATCTGGAGGATGGAATCGGGGTCTAGGCGGTGACTGTTTGCAATGACTTCCGTCCAGGCTCGAACCACAACTTCTGACGAAGAACCCTACCTATAACCATAAGCCTTTGCGGTATGTGCTCAGTTTTGCAAATATCTCTTGCTCATATCAATCTGCGGACAGATCAGGGGGTGGAGACTCGGTTCAGGTCGACGTCCGTCTCTGATTAGGCCAGGAGAGCGGGTGACACTTATTATGGACGAAAGGCCAGGACGGTGGGCGATACTTATTATGAACGAACAGTGACTGTCCTTCTTGCCCCTTGACATTTAATGTTAAGAGCATCGACTCTTGACGAGAAATATGCGCTAAACAAAAATCATTACGATTACAATTTCCACAAAACAGAGTTACCTACCGGCGTCTACGAGTAAAAATCCGCTTTGGAGGCTGTTTCCTCTGCCTGCCTGATGACTTTCCGGGTTTTCACGGCCTTCGAAAGAATATATCAAATGAATAAATAAACGACTAAAGGCATGAAGAATTGAGCGATTGAATAAACGATTATCAAGATCGATTCAAAAAGCGCAGCTGGACCATGATACCTCCTGATGGATCTTTATTTAGTAGATCTTCCACGAGTCTCTGAGAAAATAACCTAATAACGAAAAGAGATAAAAGAACAAATCGAGGTTATCAAATAAAAGCTACTTCTTGGATTGAGCAGAGAATGGCTTTGTGAGTAAAGTATTTCACACACGCACACGACACAATGACTTCCGTCCAGGCTCGAACCCAGAACTTCTGACGAAGAGCGCTACTGTAACCATAAGCCTTTGCGGTATGTGCTCAGTTTTGCAAATATATCTTGCACATGAATAAAGGCTGATAGTTTATAGAGAAACTGTTTGGGGCTGCGTCGGTGGGGGTAACGAAATAATTTGGATATATCAACAAAGTTGAAATGGTTAATATCTTGCACATGAATGGTAAACTAGCAGCTCACCTGGCTTTAAAAGGATGATCCCAGCGCATTAAGGCCTCTTTAGCAAGGCTCTAAGATGAAACAGTAGATTGGTATCAAATAAATAAAGACGACTTCAGGCAAATCAAACGAGACTACTTCCAAAACAAACATGAATAGCCAACTAAGTATAGTGAAGATTAATACGCATTTTTCAACACTTGCGTGTTTCGGAATTTAATAACGCAGGCAGTGACTCTAAGTCAACGCAATCTACTTCAAGTTTACGTGGGCTTTAGCCAACTCTGGTACGAACTCAAAGGAACGAACTCTGGTACGAACTCAAAGGAAACGATAAACGCTGTTTATCTCCAAGTTGCTGCTGAAAGCCTTGACTGTAAACAAAGTTCCGGCCCATTCAAAGCTTCTCCAAACAGTCGGTCTCTGCCGACAAAACAACCAACCTTACTCGGTGACTGAGTTCATATATAAATTAATTGCGTATTCTAGAACATGACTTTACTTTTTTGAGATTTCCTGAAATTCCTCTTTACATCTTTTCTCCAAGACATAACGGAACCGTTGGTTAGATTCCTCGACAGAGAGCTGTTGGATTCTTATTGAAGAATCAACTTACATGCTTCAAGCGACAAATAATTCGAAAGACAAACTCCTCCTCTTCCCGTTCACCTAAATCGAATTCTACAAGGAAAAAAATGATAAGAAAGTACAACAATTTTCGATGAAAAATACCACATGCTACCACTAACCGCGTTATTTTAATGAAGGGGGTTGAAAGAACCCAGCGAAGACCCTAAGAAAAATGTTGATAGGAGATGGAATAAGTCTTACACACAATATCAAATTTTACCAAGTTGTATTCGGACAATGTAACGTATGAGTTTCGTAACTACCGTCCACCACTATGAAAAGACAGGTTTCCGTTTCATTATTTGCGAAAACAAAGCGGCCACACCGACACGACACCTTAATTAACATTAAGGACATCATGAAGTGGCTGAACGTCTCTATTGAACAAGCGAAAAGGAGCAGACAAACGGCAGCTGGTCTCGAGGCATCGATTGAACGACAATTCAACGATGCCACTCCGGAGCAACAAAATTACTAAATGGAGGATAATACTGGAAATGGAACTGGAAGGTGCTGACCCAAAAAATTCCCCCTTGTGGTTCACGGTTGTCGCACAAGTGACTTTGAACAGAGTAAAACCGTAAAGTTACCGTTTTCGAGGGTCGAAGAACATACAGGAGATAACAGATGCCTCAAAAAGGGACCAGGGGGCCCGTTTCTCGATAGTTTCTAGTCTCGAAAAGCTGTTTTTCATTCGTCGTTTTACATTCAAGATCAGGATATTGATAGCTTAGAATTCAAACAATAAAAACATCTGGAGATGAGGAAGGGCGGGTTTTTGACCTAAATCGTGCATTACCATTCCCTAGTTTTAACTGAGGGCTTCAGGGCCCGCGAATTTTCGGAACCGTTTTTGAGACACTGGTCGCAAGGCGGTTGATAGACAGCAGATTAACATGGATGCAAATAACTAACTTAAATAATTAAGAATAAAGTTTATCAAATAGCAAAAAGTGTTTCACATAATTCTGTTAAATGTTTACCTTCAACAAGTCGAGTTATAAAACCCTTCGTCAGTTGCAACACGCTATTATCCACGTATTGTAGAAACAATCTACGAGAGAGACAATGCAAAATAACCTACTAATCATGAGGGCACTGCATCCACCTTGAGAGGCACAGATACGACAATTATAAAGTTTTGATAAACACAACAATCTCACCTTCTTTCCAAGCAGCGAAACCCCAGGCATGTCATCGATGTACGGAAACCTGAAGGAAATAGACAATGACGAATAAATTGTCTCCCTGCGATAGACCAATGGTGACTGATCATCTCAAGGACATCAACAACATTGAAAAGAAGAGAACAGTTGTAAAATGGTCAAAGTGAGATCGTTTACTGTTCATATTCAGATTCACATTTAGCCCGCTCGCAGGCGGTACTTCGTATTTTCAAGCGCTAGATTCAGTGCGGCGAATATTTCAGCGCGGCGAATATTTCATTGCCATATCGGACGGGTGGAAGATCTGGGATAAGTGACAAAGCGAGGAGGAGGGTGGAGGGGGAGACAGACCAGAAAAACCTCCCCCCTCCCGCTGGCTTTGTCACTCATCCAAGATCTTCCAACCGTCCAATACGTCGACTGAATATTCGCCGCGCTGAAATTCGCGCTTAAAAACACAAACTACCGCCTGCAATCAGGCTAATTCAGATTCTACGTTGTCGTGTGTATGTTTAGTTGGAGATCGTCAAACGATTTCAAAGAGGGGTGAAAACAGCATCAGTGGCACTCGAGCTCGAGCCGTGGGAGAATATCACTGATATTGGTAACAATATTGCTGGGTCAAACCGTGATACTTCTACGGTCAATGACGAAAAAAAACTTATATAGAAATACGCAATTACGCAGTTAACAAGCTGAGGATACGAGTGACGGGTCTATAAATATGAAATAAAATCTAACCACTGTTTTGTTAAAACAACCTGAAATGAACGAGATCTTTTATTTTCTCCTTCAATGAGAAACACGTACCAGAGGGAAGAGGAAAACTGAGCTCGGTCACTGCTGTAGAAAATCTCTCCACCAATTGGAAAAATACAACTTCACGCATCGTGCCCCGGGAATACCTACAACAAGATGGCCACGTGCAAGGTTTTGAAATTCATTCACTGTTATCTATTTCT